TCAATATGAGGCCATCATCTCCAACTTTTAACTGGTCCTTCTGGGCTCTGCCATTAATAGATCACTTTCCTAATAAACTCCTCCTGTCAAAAAAGGCAGAGAAAGAGCACAACTAATGGAGAAAGCAAAGCACCTGCTATAGTTCAGATGAGTCACTCTAAAGACAGCATCTCGCTAAAGGGATGCCCACAGCTTTACGTGGTTGAAACCAGAAGACTCGATTCAAGGTCTGCCTCTAGGCCCACCGAAAGACAGTCAGCCCAACAGCATGAACGAAGGTACACATGTATAGAAAGACCTGCTGAGTGAAAATAGGCCTTCAACTAAAACAGAAAAAATACATCTTGAAAAAGTCTTCTTACTGCTGGATCTATTCCCCATTTTCTATGTTATACTATTACTTCTATTTTATAAGAGCTTGAATATAGTTGTGACCTAAAAGAAGATAAGAAGATAAGATAGATAGATAGATAGATAGATAGATAGATAGATAGATAGATAGATAGATAGATAGATAGATAGATAGATAGATAGATAGATAGATAGATAGATAGATAGATAGCAGTCTCTATTGGTTTAGCAGCTTTAATGCAGCAAATACATTTGAAAATGTTTGAATTTGGGACATTTGTTCTCCGTTGTGCCTGCTGCTAGCATGTTCTTGTGCTAAATTAAAATTAGCCCCTTATTCTTTTATTTCCAACTTTGACTTCCCCCTCTGGCGGTTAAATGAGCATTTGGCTCAGCAGGAGAAATAAAATGAAGGAGAAAGGTTCTGTAGATGTTGACCTGATATTCAGAGGGCTTTTTATATGGGGAGGTAGAGATATTTTATGTTGTGTAAGTGATGAATTGCTTACTCTCAGTTTTTGAGGGTTTTAATTATTTTTTTGGATTTCAGGCTGTTAGGATGAGTGTATGTATATGATTTACTTGTGAGTTTGTATTATAATGACATACAGTATAGGACCAATAGAGGGAGTTCATGTTCTGGCGGTTAGGAAAAAGCCACAGAAAAGCTGCACCTTCTTATAAGCAGCATAGTTTAAAGCATGGGGAAAAAGTAGCAGCTTATAGTCCGGAAAACACGGTATGTGAAAATGCACTGGACCAATCTGACAGTGATCTGCAAAAGGCTGAATAGCAAAACATAACAATGCACACCTTTTAAACAATCTGTTAAGATTCTTTCAAAACATGTGCACCATGTGAAGAAGACAAGGCCGCCTTCTTATGTTGCCTTCCAGGCCTTTGTGTTCTTGAATAAATATTGTGAGAACAGATTAGATGAGTCCAGTCCTGCAAGCAGACATGTGATGAGGCTCTATTCAGCTTCCCACCCTGATAAATAATCACAAACACCATGCAAACATTATTACTAATCGTACATGTACAGATTCTTTACATTTAAGACATCTTTAACAGTCTCTGAGAAAAATTTCAATTCAATTTGCATGTGCATGTACTAACTGGTTCATCACAGTGAGAATATTGAAGCTGTCAAAATACTTGCTATGCTCTCATCCTTATCTGGCAGATCACACAGCCGTGGCCAAATTCAGGAGGTAAAAAAAACCCCTCTTATATAGTGAAAAGAAACCCTCTTAAGTAGGGGAAACTGGTAAAAAAGGAAGAGCAAAAGAAAATGAAATCGAATGTAAAAGCAGCAAGAAAGAAAAAAAAAAGAAAAGAGTAAAACAAGGAGAGAAGAGGAAAGTGACTTGTTCATACCTGACTGCTTTTGTAATATAAAATCCAATTTGGAGAGAAATAGATGTGAGCTATGCAGTGGTGGTGGGTTGGAGGATGAGATAAGGTGGCCAGTTTTTCCTCCTGCCGTAGCCTCGTCCCATCTCACAGCGCACGGCTATGTACACACACACGCACACACACACCGCCAAGCAAACGCACGCACATGTAGCCCGCCATCAGCTCACCAAACACCAAATAATGAACAATAAGGAGGCTGTCCCAGCATGATAAGTTACTGCCCTATCCTTCCCATTAGTGCCACCCGCAGGAATTAATGATAATTATGTCACGTCCCTTTCCTGCACTTTTATTGAATTCTTATCTGTGAGGAGACGAAGAAAGCTGCCGTCAGTGCGAGAGCGAAAGGAAGTATATAAAGAAAGATATGGCGGTGACAAAGTCAAACCCAAATAAGAATATCTCATATTTAATTATTTCATTTCGAGAAGGAAAGTTGCGATATGGAGGGGCAAAATAGTGCAAGTTCAATGAGCAATCAGAAGTCTGGAGCCAAAGAGTCAACACAAAGGCTGATAAAGGTTAAAGGACCCTTTATTCCTCTCAGAAAGGTGCATATTGTACCACTCTTTCTGTCAGCACACCCAGATATGGCAGTAAACCCCCAAATAGTTTTTTTTACATGTGCTTTAACACATTCACTATGAAGGTGAGTGTTCCATGTACAAAAAATAAAATAAAAACACACAAAAAACAGTTTTTTGCAATAAAACTGATCCTACTGGGGAACTCATTCTGGGTTAGAATATTTGCAAAAGCAGTTAACTTTTCCATCATGATAGGGTACATGAATTAGTCTGAACTATTAAAATGGTGCCAAGAAACTTTAGCCTCCTGCCGCCATGGGCAGCCTGGTCTGCTGCCATATGGCAGCTTCAGTCCATGGATTTATGCTGTTGAAGCCAAATTCTGAAAACCATCTGCAGTCCTATCAGATATGGACTTTTTTAAACATTTAATTTTCCTTACTCTCCAGTTTGTGTTCCTTCTAATCGTTGACTACAGGAGTTGATCACAGATGGGTCCAGCTTAAGGTTTCACTCATCGATTTTAATCTTTCCTGTCGACTAACACCAGTTCAAAAAGACAAATTCACTGCTTTACCTTCAACTGGGTAAAACAATTTAAAGGCAAAGCCTTGACCAGGTGTGTATGTCTGGATCTATTCTCCTTAATAGGTTTGAACAGCACCTTAAATTAGAGATCAAAGTATAAAGGCAGGACATTGATTTGCTGAAACAGTTCTAAAATACCTTATTGTTCTATGTGGGTTTTGAAATTAAGACTTTTCTCTATGACAGAGATTCTTAGATGTGCCAAGGCTTATTTGGTGCAGGTGGTGTCCTCCTACCAAGTACAAAAACAAATCAACCCCTACTTCATGGACACTTCAACACTGAAGTAATAATCAGCTAAAAGCACTCAGTGGCTGCCATTGTGGCCCCCCTTCTCCTGCAACACACACAACCCGGCACGTAGGCACTTTAACAAAGCTAATTAAGCAGATTATTTTGTATTTCCAAATTTAATATAAACAAAGAAAATAAAAAGAATGATCTCATTATCTCAAGAGTAAAAAATGTATCTAAAGTTACCGACCAAAGATTGCATTGATAATGCTGAAAATGTGGATTTAAATTTAATGATGCTCAAATTGCTCAAAAACATTGAAGGAAACTTGGGTTGGAAATAAACAATAACAATATGCATCGCAATAGACACTTGATTAATATCAACAGAAAATACAATCTTTAAAAGGTTCAATATTTTCACTGAGTTCTGATCCAGAACTGCAGAGCATTCTGGGATATGTAGGCAGAGGAAAGTATTCAGTCTATTAAATTGTCACAGTCAAGATAAGATGTAAGCTCAGTTGGTGGAACAAAAAAGTTTACCTTTAAATATGGTTATCGTTTTAATTTAAAAATATATATATTTTTAATGTTTCCTTCTTGTCCTTATTCTAGATAGAACAAAAAAAAAATAGTCAACAATTATCCATATCAACTGATATAGATATAGATTTTTTTATAGTCGCTCAAATACACTGACTCACCATGCAAATAAGCAATATTATAGTCTTTTAGGATACAATTAGAAGTTAGGCTTTTATTTCTAGGATTATTTTAAACTTTAAAACTCTCACCCAGGAGGAGCTCTTGTTATATGTGGCCTTTCCTAAAGTTCATAATTAACCAAAGAGGTAATACCATGCGCACAACCTTGTTTTGACACTTATACACTCAGAAATGGCCTCTTAAAGCTACAAGAAACAGAAACACAAAATGACCAAGCTCTGAATTACTGCATAGAAAGACAGAAGAAGCTATGCTTGTGAATTTTATGTCAAAAAACGTTTCAACAGTCTTAGATTTAGAAAGTCTTTGAAAGTTTGTTCTTATCTAACTGAAAAATTACTTTTAAGTTTTAAACTCATTTTAAGGCAAAAATAATAACTTTAAATTATTTTAATGCAAAAGTTCTGGGGATTTTGATAATTTTATTAAAAACAAAAACTAAATATAAACAGTGAAGATCAACATTAAGACTACAGGTATGGGATAAATACAGAAGGGGGAATAGAATAGGATTAAAGCACATCACTAGATGATGATTCAGCACTGAGTAAATGTTAGAGTCGTGATTGAGGGATATTGCTGAACACAAGAAGAACCATGGATTAAAGATGTTCGTCTGCCTGTAGTGTATGAGCATTTGAAGGGCTCTTTGACAGCTCCAGTGAGGAAAGAAATAAGTGTTTTCCATAAACTCAAACAAAAACCTTATAAGGAACAGGTTGCAACAGAAACACTACATGCATAAATGTGAAAAGCTTTCATCCCCTTTCAGCTGTTATTAATCTGACATTATGTAGGAAAAATATAAAATAATAATGTGATGCTTAACATCAGTAAAATAGATGTCTGTTGGTTTTATTCCAACTACAGTCATTAACTGTATAAAACCTTTCTGTCTCAGAGGAAAGTAAGTAACTGCACAGGTAAGAGGTTGTTTGCTTTTAATCAGTCAAACAGTTTGAAAAATAAAATGGAGTTTTCTGTAAAAGGAATAAACAACCGATGTCTACGTTGGCGTCATTGTTCCAGACATAAAGAGAAAACCTATAGCATATGCTTGTCTCTGTGTTATAAAAGTTAGATTCAGCAACTAAATTAAGTTTATTAATAAATCAGGGGATGTCCAGTTTAACAGGAGACAGATGTACTCACTGGAAACCTGAGGCAGGTTGGTGAAGAACGCCTTAAGGCGACCAGCGAGCCACTCCATGCTCTCATGAAGGTTGGCCAGAGCCTTGAGGTCGCTGACGTCACGCAGGATCTCGTTCTGAGGGATTAATTTATCTCCCAGGTTCCCCGTCAGCACCTCCGACTCCTTAGCGAAAGCAGCGCTGAAATGACAGAGATTTATGGTTGCTTATAGAATTATTCAGACATTTATTTTAATTATGGGCATTTTTTATAAATAATTTGTATACTTCATAAATTAAATACACATTATTAATACAAACCGTTAAAATGACTGAAGGTGAATAAATAATTTAGCAAGTTATTAAATGACAGGACTTTGGTATTACTAAGAGAACAATTTAAATATCTGCTTTAAAGACATAGGAAAACAGCTGTTCCAACGGTTGCAGTTCCGAATTCTCCCAAGTGGTGCACGACTTTACACGAGTGAATAAAGTGAATATGATTGGTCGCATCTTGCTAACCAGTTAGCAACTTAGTGCCAGTAGGTTCCCAATGTAAAATTACATTGAGACCAAGTAGTACTTAGCAAGGACACTGTCAAGGAACGCTATGGACAGCGGAAACATGCAAGAGGAGGAGAGTTTTGTGTCGGAGGTCGTGGATGAGTCTCTTTCGTCATACATTTTTTTTATTCAGAGGAGGAAAGCGGGGACAAGGTTGTAGTGGAAGACGACGTCATGGCGGCAGAAGCTTGGTTTGGTGTAGAAGGCTTCCAGCTGTAAACGTTTGAGCTCTTGCCTTGCAACGCTGCCAGTTCTGTTAGCTCTACGCCTGCCGAAGACACAAACGTCCATCCCGTGAACACTGGGACAGAACTCAATGAGAAAGGATATTATTCTCATTTCTTATTTCAACCATTCTTTATATTAGCTGCGACATATGAATCAAGATCCTAAGACCGAAAAAAATGTAATTGACAGATGGCCGTTGATATATGATTGGCCGAATGTAGGTGTTCAGGCTGACGTATAACTAACTGGTCTGCATAAAATAACGAAGAAAAAACCCCCACAGATTTTAAGACATGATTTTTATTTTTAAAATAGAAATTTTCTTACTTAAGGGACAATATGGTCTGATAAAGAATACATTTATGTACATGTTTAAGCCAGAATGATTTGACATTTAAACATGACTTCCCTCCGACTTAAACTATATAATACATTATAATACATGTGATGACATGCATAGGGCCTTAAAGACATATTTTATGGCTAAAAGCACATTAATTTCTGGTGAAACTGCTTTAAAGAAAGCTAAATTCATTAGGTTAAAACATGAGTGGCTCCTGAAATACAGGAGAGCTCATGAAAACTTTTACAAAACAGTTTCTAATAATCTCAAGCTGATTTGCTTGGCTATCTAGCAGCAAATTATTGCCTTGACCTTTACAGTGATTCATGAGAAGGAACAAAAATGGAAGAGGATTAATAAGTACAAGGACGGCACCAGGGAAGAATATATATTGCAAAATTAAAAAGGAATTTGGAAATCCTGAACTGTTGGAGGAGAAAAAAACATTTTAGGAAATAACTAAACAAGCTTTACAGAGTGATGAAAATAGAGATGCTTGATGAGGTTAAAGGATACTGGAAAACAGAAAAGGCAGATGGGGAGAAAATTAGGTAACCATGGTACCCAAACTCAAGACATATGGACTGGCCTCCAGAGTCACCAGGATGCCCACAAATTCAAGATCCTTTGAATGGCAGATGGGGAAGAAAAAGAAAGAAAAACGACTAACATTCAGGCGCATTTAACTAATTAACCGGGCTTAAATAAAGCACTGGGCTGAGAGAGGTGCAGTGGTTATTCCATTCTCACGACGATGAAAGCATCTCATATCAAACACACTGATTGTATTCCTGCCTTTGCTATCTTTAAGCTGTTCTGTATGTTTGTGTATAAAAAAATAAAGTGGGAGATGGAGGCAGAGTGCACAGAACAGATTGGCTTTCTCTGCCACATAAGCAATTTATTTACTTTGCTATTCCACATCAACGAGCCTCGCTGTTCCCTGCAGACGGTGCACATTCAAAGGCTATTTTGATAAGACTCAAACCACTTTCTGTTCACCATACACTTTCCTTATTTTTTACATTTTCTCATTCTTCTTAAGATAGAGTTATTTTGGGATCAGCTTTAATAACATTTAAATAACATTCTGCCAATGAGTCCTAATAACCGTTTTTAGAGCGTACCGTGTAAAGTCCTCTTCATCTTCCCTTTTCTGTCTTGTCTGTCTGGGTAGCGCCATGTTTGCCCAGTTTGGAAGGGACTGAAGGAGACGAGTGATGTCCTCATCTTTAGCCCAGGAGGCGCTGATCGTCAGTTTTTCCTCACACTGGACTATACCCCTAAGGACACACACATGAACCACACAGACTAATTCAACCTATAAGACTTTATAAAAAGCAATAGAAGACAAAGTGCTTTAAAAATAATTAATTACCCTTAAACTTCTTTTATCTCTACATAAAAAAAAAAACATGGAACCATTTTACACCCTCTGAAGGTCTGTTTTTTTATTGCTCAGGGGCCCAAAACAGACCTAGAATGACCTTTAACCCAGACCAGATGGGCTCCCAGCAAGTCCTGTGCAGCTTACCACTAATTTTCCCCCAGCATTTTATCTCTCCATGTGTTTGCATCCATATGTAGATGGTTTTACCTATAGGCTGTGTTGCAGATTTCCTTGTATTCTTTGAGTTTGTCACAGACCATCTCCAGGAACTGGTTGGAGTAGGCACTTAAATCCTGCATCAGGCTCATGAGGTCCTGGATGGACTTCTCCACAACCACAGTGCTCTAAAACATGCAGAGAGAAAAGCAAAGCAATATCAGCTTGTGGGAAGCATTTTAGAAGGGAAAGTACTTATCAGTTAAAAAAGTAATACTTTTGAAAACTTATATTTTCATATTTCTTTAAATAATTCAAGCTAATTTTCACAATATAAAAGGAAAGACGTTAATATAACAATGTGGCGGTTCATTTCATGGAAGCTGGAAAAAAGCAACTGGATGGATGAACAGACGGATGTATTCGTTAAAAGGAAAGACAGATGAAATGATCGATGGATGGACAGAATGAGAGACAAAGTAAAATGAACTTAAACATAGAAAAAGAGAGAAGATGGATTAGATTATATGGTAGTGTCAGGTCAGATCCAGTCTGCTGTAACAGTGATTTAAGAAGAGCTCTCCCACTTGTATAGATGTCAACTGCGGCCAGAATGACGTCAACTGCTGGATGACTTGTCAGAAGTCCTAATGCTTCTAGACCAAGGGATGATTTTCTATGTGTAAGCAAATCAATGTGAGTTAGTTTGAACTTGTGGTTTGGAGGCTCAACATGATGTGCACGAGTTTGTCACAATGCGCCCATCATCGGGAGCCCCGGCAGAGCTCTGACAGCAGCCATTACAGATTATCCACTCCGCTGTGACTAATAGCTGGCCAAAGAACAGAAAAGCAGCTTCTTAATCTCAGTCACACTCATGCAAAACCAGAGAGGATGCAAACTTTTAAATAAACATATCTGAGCAAATCAAACGATCTTAAATAAGAGAACAAGTCAGAATCTTCCAGTTTGACTCTTCTAACACTTAACCAATCTATCATACATCCTTAATAATAATAACTGACTAGAACTGTGGAGATCAGCAATAGCTGCTTCTGCAAATGGCACTCACTGTACAATAATAGCGCAACCGGCCTCACTCTCTACAGATGCCAAACATCATTTTTATTCAGCTCATGTCACCCTATGAGAATTTAATGTTGGCTTCCACTGTTTGTTTGGAAAATGGAAAACTTTATAGTTTTGTCAAAGGTTAATTAAAAGGAAATGGCCTTTAGCACAGAGATGGTAAAAAGCCTGACTTTTAGTGTTGTCAGCTAAACATGCATAAAATGTAGCAGTAAATGTAAGCCCCTGACCTACACTACAGTTGTCATTATTTCTAATTAGAAATGGCATCAAATGGGGAAATGTGTAGTCTGCTATAATGTCAACAACTTTAACACATATAAAGAGGATGAGTGATCATTTCTAATGTCTGACCTAATAATTTCAGCTTTACTTTCTTAAAAATGTCATGTCATGTCTTTATAAAGGTAGTAGTTTAGAACCTAACAGGAAACGCATGGAATAAAATACAAAAAAACACTTTCAGTTAGCTGAAAGGAGAGCCACAATAACATAGGACGAGCAAAAGAAGATGCTTCAACATTTGACCGATCAGAAGAGATCAACATTAAAGAAACACTGTGTAACTTTAACCAGTAGGTCGAATTGGCCTAGAGCAGTGGTTCTCAAACTTTTTCTGTCATTCCCCACTTTGGACAAGGGGGAATTTTCAAGCCCCGCCTGTCCCCATCGCCCCAACACAATGCTAATGAAATATGAAACAATCTTAAAATGTTCCAATTTTATTGAAGTAACAAGTAGTATCTAAATACAAACTATCTACATCAAATAACAGCAAGCTCAAAAATAAAGAAAATAAAAATGCAGCTGTGTCAAAATTTGTATCAAGCTCAAAGATAGAAAAAATTAATGTGCCACTCTGCAATCTGTTAATAAAAGAAAATAAGTGAAATCCATCTGGCAATACAGGTCTATTTATCCCTGCATTAGTGGCTTCAATGAGCCTGTTTTGCATTGCACAGTTTCTCAAAACGGGGTTGCAGGCTTGATACTGCCACTCTCAAGTCATGCTTTGTTTTCAGTGAAGCAGCAGCTGAAAAGCCCATCTCACAGAGATATGATGTGGCAAAGGGAAGAAGAATGCACACAGCACACATAGTGGGGGAGAACGGGGTTGGGAGGGAGGAGGCGCCCCACGGCAGCAGGACAAGAAAAGGAACGATACGTGCTTTCCCGTAACCCCCAGATTCCACATACTCCGTCAGCGCTCCGCTCCGCTCCGCCCCGCTGACGTACGTCGTGCGGAGCGCTTGTCTTTCATGGAAATCAATGAGAGCTGTTCCACATCCACCGCTACTCCTCCGCACGTCTCCGTCCACGTACGTCTTCTCCGTCCGTCACCGACAAATTACGGAGCCGAGCTATTTTTTGCTCCGCTCCGGTCCGGCCAGGTCAAGATCCGCAATTGCAATCGCACCAAACAGGAAAAAGAACCTCGACAAATTCCGGTTCGTCAAATTAAAATATAGTAGCAACAGATTGGTGACTAGAAATTATAGCACAATTCTTATAAATATCTAAAAAATAAAAAAAATAAAAAGAATAACACCGTTTATTTAAATGATTGGATCCAAACTATTGGTTATTCACCAACCAGGAAGCAGATTTCTCATCTCCATTAAAATATTTATTTTATACCGAGGGACTTAAAGTTTAATCAAATCCATTCAAAAGAAACTTCTTATTACATGAATGAAAAGAGATGCTGAGTTGTAGAGAACAAGTTCATTTAAAAAAAAGCAGTTTTGAATTATCCTTATCTCTGTTACAAAAATCTACAAAAAAAAAAATATATATATATATATATATATATTTGGGCAGAAACTGAACATATGCTGGATGATGGTGGGATTTTTTTAATATGTCATACTAAATTAAGCGCTCACAGGGTTCATACAGGAATGAGTGACTCTAATTTAATGCTATTTTAATGCTATTTGAAATGATTTTAATGCCATCAACAAGAACCATGTACACAAGTTATTAGTGTACATGAAATATGGAGCTGTAAGCACAGTTCCATGACTCCTGTATGTATGTAAAAACACACACACACACATATATATACGTATATATATTCTCTAGCTTTTTCTCCGCCTCGAGCTTCCTTTCCGAACATACGGCTTTATAAACAGTTCCACGCAAATTAATAGCGATATAATATATCTGACAAAATTGTTTTTAGAAGCATTTTTATTAAAGAATCATAAATGCAACGATAAACATATTTAATTAATTTTAGTGCCAATTAAGGGCTTGATTAAAAAAAGAATTATGAATTGTAATTATTTTTAATGATCCGCGGAAACCCTGGTTCATCTGGCGCATGCCCTCTACGATCTCCAAGGAACTCAGAGCGGAGCGGAGGGGACAGCGGCGGCTGTAGGCTTTGCTTTGTGTAGGCGGTCTGGAGCGCAGCGGGGCGGAGCGCTGACAGAGTATGTTCTCCAAAAGTCGCTAGATTTGTCGCTAGTCGCTTTTTTGAAAAAGAGTCGCTGGAGGGGTCTGAAATATGGCGTCAAAGTCGCTGAGTTGGCAACACTGGGGCGCGAAAGTTTATTCCGTTACAAATAATATGCCGACGTCACGTCAATCATCATTTTGGTACTTCAGTTCCAGGGGAAATTTTTCTCATATCTAATGTTCTTTTAATTAGACTGCATGTAGGCTAGTAATGATTACTTTGTGGGTTTGATTAGTCTAAAAAGCGGCAACATACAGCTATAAGGACAGTTTTCTCTCACACGTTATAGTCACACGCACACACACACACACACACACACACACACACACACACACACACCGGAACTTGGCGCGCCCCACCTGTCACGTCTCAATTCCCCACCAGTGGGTCGCGCCACACACTTTGAGAACCGCGGGCCTAGAGGTTAAGGCATAGAGCTTGGAATCCTGAGGTTCTGAGTTCAAGCCCCACTCCCACAGACTGCCACTCTGGCTCTCTGAGCAAACCCTTAACCCCACACTGCTCCCCGGGGACCGCACAATGGCAGCCCACTGCTCCCCAAGGGGATGGGTTAAATGCAGGGGTGAATTTCTCCAATTTGAGATGAATGAAGTTCAGTTATTATTATTATTATTAGGGGCATGACTCAGGATCAAACCGTCTACACTTCAGACAAGCAGATTGAGAATTCATGGAGTTATTTATAAGAAAATATAAAGCCACATTTATCCCTTTAGATGAAATCCAATATCAGAAAACCAAAAAGAGCTCAGTGTGCTGCAAAGCAGCGCTCTGCATCACATGACCTGTTCAACAATGGATCGAACCCTCTTAAGTTAAACAGGCAAGTTTTTGATAAGGGTAGCCTGCATTAATATGCTCCAAGAGAAGAATACTGACCTGAAAAATACTTAATATATCTCAAATTAAGCTAATACCTGAGCCAAAAGTAACAGTGTTGCTTCAAATTGTCCAGTTCTGATCTCTGGCCAGATCAGTAGAACATTGCTAATGGCGTTATCATATCATTATCATCAAAAAATTGGACTATGTTCTGTCTGTGTGGGCTGGGAGTTAGTAACTCAGTCCTTGAACTGAACTGGAAATAAAATAAATAAAGGACCCTTGACGAGGTAAAATCGCATTAATATTAATGGCCCTTCTTAGGTTTGCTGTCTCCTTCATTCATTTTTTAAGAAGGAGACAAATACACACATACAACTGCTGCTCCACTGAGGGATGTAATGATCCATAGCAGTGCCCATATCCACAGAGTACCAACCATGGCCTCATCTCTGCCAGGGGAGCAGCCTTTACTGTCCAAGCCTGACTCCCGGTCAGCCTTCCCGGGATGGGAAGATTTACACAGACCCTGCAGGGGAGCTTGCTGTTGGTGGTTAATGTGGCAGCAACAGCACAGGTCCCCCAAGAAGTTGGGAGGCAGTCATCATGTTGTGTTGCAAAAATGTGATAAGAGCCTCCCATCAGAACAGCTATGAATAGCATTTAAAAGTCTACTTTTTAAAGAACAAAAACATACATTACAACTCACTGCTTATGGGTGGGACCTCCTGTGGCCTCTGCACCAATCAAAAGACATGTGCATTAAAGCATAAGAGGAAAAGCATCTGAAAA